TACAGCTAAGGTCCTGAGCTCACAAGCGTACCTCCTATTTTACGAGCGGGTACTATAACAACAGATGTTTCCTCTGGAAGCGTTTATAGCTTTTACAATGGCTGTACTAACAATAAAAAAAATTAAGACTATAAATCATGTTCACTTTACATGACAGAAGAAATCATAAATACTGAAGGGAAAAAAAAAAAAAAGAAAAATAAGTAGTGATTTCAAAAGGTTGTCCTTTAAACCGAGGAATTCTTATAGTCACAGGTTTTTGCCATTTGAATTAATCAAAATTTCTGAAGTGACCCTTGGTTTTCTCATGGGACAAAGTATCTTCTTTTCCCATAACAGAATACATATCCACCCCAAAATTCCACCTTGTATTATAGGCAGGCCAAACAACAAAACAAAACAAGACAAAACAATTGTATCACAGGAAAGCACTTGAGTAAATCACAGCTTAAGGAACAAGCTACAAACAGATAATAAGGTTTCAAACAAGCAGTAGCAATTACACTAATACTATTCTTTACCGAGTAACCCTAAAAACAGTCATGACGCTGAATTAAAATAATTACGACTTTACTATAAGAGAAGAGGTACACTGTTTGAGAGGATAGTCTTGTATTAAAACTGGAAGTTATTTGATTTTTGTGGTAAGGTCTGCATTTTACTAAAGAGTCCATCTAATTAATAGTGTCTGCTTCCAAGCTGTTTGGTAGTCTCAACTACAGAGTAACAAATGGGCTTCATAGGACTTCTTTAACCTTTAGAAATACCTGTATACCTGACACTGGCAGTAGAAGGCAATATATAAGATCTCTCTCCATTGGGGTGCAAACAGGCTTCTCTTTTTTTTTTTTTTTTTTTGGTCTTTCTGAGACAGGGTCTCACTATGCAGTTCAGGCTGGCCTTAAATTCACTTTGTAACCCAGGTTGGCCTCAAACTCACAGCATCCTCCTGCCTCAGCCTCCCAAGTGTAGGGATTGTAGGTATGTGCCACCACACCTGGCTAAACAGGTTCTTCTTTGTTCATTCTGCAATTGATTCAAGTGCTATCCTCCCTGGTCATAACCTTAGGTCAGTGCGGCAAAGTACCACACTGGTAGTAACTGGCTTGATCTATCTTTTCAAGTCAGTTTTCATGGCCAACATGAGTTATTTTCTTCAGGATCCAGGGCAATGCTAGTCAGCACCAATTGCTATTCAAATTTAAAACATTCTAATAATTACCTTCTGCCTCCTAAAATGTCATATTTCCACTGGATGTGTTACTATTCTTTCCTCTCCTAAAATGTTTGATGTTGGACAATTTTAAAATTGCCACGTCACTCTATAACTTGCTATAATTTATAGAATCCAAGTATTTAAAATGACATGAACCATTTTAATGTCACTTGACTAAATATTAAGGGTTGGAAGGGTAAGTTAAAAGGGAGGATCAGTCTCAAGAAAAGAAAGGAAAGAACTCAAATTCATGCAATAAGAAATGAAAAGGATGAAATTACCACAGATCCCACAGAAA